GTCTCAGTTTAAAACCAGGACGTCTCATGTGTTCAGTTTAAAACCAGTACGTCTCATGTGTTCAGAGACCGTGAAGATTATTAAAATCGGAAATGTGAAGCGACACTACGAGACAAAGCACAAATCTCTTGAGCAAACGTACCCACTCACATCTGAAATGAAGTCACAGATAATAAACAATCTAAGAGCCCAATATGATCAGAATGCTAACACATGAATTCACTGCAACAATGATGTTAACAGAGAGAATAGAGCTGAAACAAGTAGTTTAATAACACAGATAAAGTCCCTGCACACAAATTTCTCTCTATATAATATCGTGGCTTTTTTGGTTGACATCACTTCACACCTGAATGAACTGAATTTAAAGCTCAAGGTGAATTCAGTTCAGTTTGTTTTTCTAAAATGAAGTGCTTTCAATACATCTGCTAGGCTAATTCAATATATATGTAACTAAATCATAGTGCAAGTTAGAATTTTTTGTGATGTTCTGAACCTTTGCATGAGGAAATGGACCTCATTGGATAAATTACAACTTAGCACAGTTGAAGCTGCCACATGCAGGAAGGACAGCTGGTAATAAATCAGCAACTGTGTAAATGTGTTTATTAAATGAATAGATTTATAATATCACTGCTTCATCTAGAGCATGATTGATCTGACTATAACTACATGTGTATAGCGTTAATGAATAGATGATACTTTATTCATCCCATTGGCCTGTATGACAATATTTAAAAAATATCTTTTATAAATAAAAACGTATGATCAGGTTTCCTTCCATAATCACCACAGCAAACATAAAAGTAACCGGAGCTAACACACATAAGTGAATATATGATATGAATGAATAATAATAATAATATTTTTTTCTATTTGCTCCCAAGTCTGTTTCACATCATTGGGGTTTCAGATGAAACAATAAGACTAAAATATTGTCACACACACCATCAGAATACATCTGCAACACATTAATGAAACAGACTACACACATGTAGTACATGTAATATCAGTGATATTATGAAGCTTTTCGTTTACACATTCACACAGTCCTCCACGCTCCTTTTCAAGGCTTTTAATGTGTAACATTTTCAGGAAGTGTTGAATTGTATTGTAGCTCACCACTGAAACGTCAAAGTGTTTGTTGTTTCATAAAGGAGACACTCATCACCTGCATTAACCTTTTTCATATCCTTCTTTGTTGTTAATAGCAAACCAAGAATAAAGAAAGGAGGCTTAGTCCAAAAATAAATATAGCTTTTTCCTTTGTGAAATATTTGGTATGTCAGTTTCATATCCATTTTGTAGGCTGTGAATGATTCATTCTTGGAGTGTCAGTGACATGTTCCACAAGAGTAATACACTTTATTCCGTTATCATAATAAACCATTATTACTAATAATATGAAATTATCTGATGAAATAAACACCGAACCTGTCTCTCTCTTCTCTCTCTCACACACACACACACACACACACACACACACACACACACACACACAC